AGATACGGCTGCATATGTGTACCCATATATGCATGCAGCATCACCGCCGCTTCATACCAATCCCTTTGCTTCATAATTTGCTCAGCAAATGAATGAATACGAGCGTCAGAAACGGTCGTCCGTTTGTGGGCGGGCGGGCAAGGAAGGCGTTTGGGACGTAAAGTTGTTGCTCAATAGGGCCCCTCCTTGGAAAAGGCTTCACGCAGCGCCTGTCCGAGGTCACGGAATTCTGTTAAGCCAGTTGTACAAATCCTACACCTGTATAACGATTTATCGTGCCAACTGCCTTTAAGTACTTACAAAACGTGAACCAGAACAAAGATATAATTCATAATTAAGGTACTTTATAGGTGTGAAGTGTTACATAGAAGGCTATCAAAGAGAGGCGAGAGCATTGAAGAGTGTTACTGATAACAATAAGATCTAATTGATCTGTATTGACACTGATAACACTTTTTACTTTGTAGACAGCCCATCAAACTCGATATTGTCGTGTGTCTGAGCTTCGTTGCGGTTTCAAGGTCGTACAGCAGAGAAGGACCAGAAAATGCATTCGAAGAATGGTCAGACTCAGACTTCTCCTTCGAGGGGCATCTTCTTCGAGAGTATTCACAAAACGCTCCAGGAACTTGGAAGGAGATTGGCTTCTTCGGATGAACTGATTTGCGGCTCGTAAAGTCCCTATAGGCTAAGGCATGATTATTTGGAGCTTGGTCCAATGTGGTTACAGAGGAGCTGAAAGTAAGAAAAAGCGAAGTGAAACGCTCAGAAACCTTTGAAAAAAGCCTTCGTTCCACATTCGGGAACCATCTCGGACCAGTTTCCCGTTGGCATCGTGCCAATAACCGCTACGGTAGATATGGCTGCATGTATGCGCTCTATCCATGCAGCACCACAGCCGCTTCATATCTACCCCTTCGCTTCATATTGTACTTCGTAAATGAAGCGAAACGAGCATCAGGTACAGGGTACGTTACGTACGGTCTGTACATTTGTGGGCGGGCGGGCGCTGTGAGCGTTCCGGTCGTTGCGTTGCAGCTTGCTAGGGCCCTGTAAAGGTACCTTTCATGAAAAAGGCGAAACGCAAAGCGCTGCTCATGGGGCCGGAATCCTATCCTTACTGAAGCGTATTTGTCCCTACACACTTATAAATTTGTCGTGCCACTTGCTTTACATAGTCGGCAGACTTTCAAATATAAGGCAATATCTGGGAGGCCTCCTTTTGGCAGGAGAGTACGTTCAGTAGATATAGATACGCTAGATTAAGCCTTGGTGCAAACTCTGTTTGTAACTGCAATTTTTGAAAAGAATGAATGGCGATGATCAGGCTGCGCTAGTGTTTTTATGTTTCATGTTTATTGTTCACTTATTATACATCTTGGTTTATCAAAAGAGCAAAATCACAATAAATAAAACATTATGAGCACGTTTTTCAAAGATCATCAGAAGGGCGAGTAATTGTTCGCATACAAAAGGCGAAGATTGAACTCCTAAGCAAGGATACAACAAGAAAATCTGTAATTCAGACAGTAGAAAACTCCGGCGGACGAACGAGAGGAGAGGTACGACGACTTGGGGAGGATTCTACTGAGTAGCCGGGCGGAGAGCTGAAAATTTACTCGCTACAATTTTTTCATCATAACGACCTGACATGTGGATACTTACAGTGTCGGAGTCGCGCCTGAAGGACGACTTCGTGGTTCTCGCTCAAACATCGGGATGTCTGACGCCTCCGAACGTTGCGCTAATGACCTCGGTTTCTCATACATAGTCAGCGGCTCCTAGAATAGTGAAAGCTATATGGCATCGAGACGATACTATTCGAACTGTTGAACCCGAAGAAAGAAAGACAGTTGCCAGGCTCAAATAATGAGGAGGACATAACGTCCACGAACCATGCTTACCGCTTCCGGTCCAACGATACTGGCGCTCCTCGGTGGTGAACCTCTCTTTTTTCGGTCCGACTGTTTGATGACCCAGAAGATGGTGAATATGCCGATAAGTACAAGAATGATAGCCAAAGCAATGGACATCCATTGTAACCATACGAGAATATTGTCCTTGGCTCTGTAATGAGTTCATCTTTCATTCCTTTCAATCGTCTTCAATTTCGAAAAGAAAAAGACGATACCAAGAAAAGCCTTCGAAAAACAATCACAAGCACCTAACTATAGAAAGAGAGGTTATGGAGATGAAAGGATTCTCGGAGCAATTCGGTCTGATGGGAGCCGAAGCACGTTCTGTCGCTGGGGTGAATTTTAGAAAAATATGACCCTCATCCCCGAATTTATGCTATGGTACGACCCCCCCTTCCCCCTTCCACATCCCGTCTACCCTCTCACTATCTTTTCCCGACCTCCTACCACTTTTTCCAAAATTGTTCAATTTCCCCGCTCTGAAAACTACAGGTGGTCGAACGGGAGAGAGCCGCCAACAATTTCAGCTATCGAAAATATTGAAGTAGCTGCATAGGACTTTGGTTGCGCTGCCAAGAAGGGGGGTGGGGGGAAGCAACGACCAAATGCGACGCAGTTCTCCCCCCCTCGCTGGAGATTCCCCACAGTACGACAGGTACCTGGTAGGAGCGTCCAGTGTCCTTCAGCAAAACTTGAACAGGCAACCTTGTGAATACATGTGAGTTCCTATCACTAAAGTCACTCCCACTTCGCCTTACACACTCAGCTTCGTCGCCACCCCCTTTCACGCACAGCCAGTTCTCCAACCGTCCATCCCACTGCACCCTCCCTCAGCCCCCCCTACTCGCGCAACATGATTCAACACCCCCATCTAGCGAAAAATGGAAAATGCCCCCTCAAGCTGAAAAGCGCCCAAATTTATCAGAGAATAATAAGTACCACCAGGCTAGATTTTGCAAGCACACAATCACGGCTGAAAACGAGTCTCGTGCATCAAGAAAGTACCCTATTTCCCTAAACGGCATATAACCTTGCGTGACTCTATCTCCTACAGTGAAAGTAGGGCACACAATCGGCAGGGAGTCTCCCGAAGGGAGCGTGTAGGTGTCTTGGTCGCTAATGAAAAGCGAGTCGTATTGAGAAAGACTGTGAATTTTTGACCCTCCTCTGTCTTCTCGGACTTCTAACGGAGGTTTTCGGTATTACAGTCACAGACTTCAATAATTCTTTCAAGCGAAACGAGGACGCAACCTATGTCTGCACCAAGGTTGACCTCCTTGTGTCCACTGCATTCTCCATGTGTTGTCTTCATTTCGGATCTTCTGACCTGCAACTTGTAATTCAGTACTCTGAGTTCATCCTTATTTTGTCCTATTCACTTACATTGAAACTCAGTGTCGCCTTTGATAATGTGGGTTTGGAAGCAGCTGAATGACAGCTTATCACCTTCTAGATAGGCTGGCTCTCCACTCGATGGTCCCTTGATTAAATACTCCGGGTATTCGATATTCATCGCTCCACACGAGTTGTCTGAAAGACAACAGCTGATAGGCTATCCTGTACAATTTCGAACTGACCAACCATCAAACCATGAAACAAATCGAAAAAAAACTTGGATAACTGAAAAACTAAACTAAAGGGGTATGTGACAAGAGAATCGTAATTCACCGCGCTGGTGGGCGTCGCGTGCGACGTCGCGCCCGCAAATGACGATGGTTCCAGGTAGTAGATGGCGACAACAGGCAATTCAGAACCGAAAATAGTCATGAATGTCTACGATGACGGGTCTACATGAAGTCCGGTGCTCCAATCGACAGGTTAACACGAGTTAAGAAAACGCCGCGCCCATCGCCGCGCACGGCGGAGCGGCGAATTACGATTCTTATGCCCGTCTCCCAAATTAAAGAAAACTCAACTCAGATAAATTGAAAAAAATCATGAGCATCTGGGTAAAATCGATTTGGAAAGTATGCATTGAGGCAATGCATAAAAGCGGTGCATCGCTCGCAATGCACAGGCCGCTTGATCATGCGCGAAGGCACTTTCGGAGG